CGGTTTTTCTCCGTTCGGCTCCTTTCCCTGGTGTCTGAGGGGAGCGGGGTCGGCTCCCCACGGCTTAGTGGTGTTGGAGCAGAGGAAAGAGGGGAGAGGGTCCCTCAGGGTGTCTCCTTCCTTGGCCCCCGCGCGGGTCCTGGCGCAGCTGGCTCCGTGGGGCGGGCCGTTATTTTTCTGTGTGATAAATGGCATCGCTGCTTGGAAATATGGATTCTTCGGCCGAGATCTTGGGGGAAGGTTTTAAGAGTACAGGAGATCTATGTGAATGTGCCGCCAAACAGAGTTAAAGGCAAGAGCATTAGCGATCCATTGGAAAAAGTATTCCTTGTAGTCATGATCATTTGAAGGCATTAACTAGACTTTCTTTACCAAAGTCTGGGGTTTTTAATAGAATACCGTATGTTGAATTTTGAACAACGAGAGGGAATGCTGACTTGTAGGATAAATGAGTCCTTTGGTGTGGAGCCAGGAAGACCAGGGATGCTGGGTTAGTAAGGCTTTGGCATACTGAAGCGTTGGCGTGTTTCAGCTCCGACGAGGGAGTCCCTTGTGCCAGTCTTGCATTGCCTAGTGACTTGTTTGCAGGATTTTCTTTTTAAGAGCCTTCTGTTTTGAAACTCTTAATTGCAATTTGCAGGTAAACAGAGGTGTCGCTGATGATTTTCCAGCTGTGCTTTTGTCATTAGCAGGTGGTTCACAAGTGCTAAACAGAGTTAAACATTGCCAACTCAATTTGAAGTTGGCACATGCTGGGAGGTATGGCTTATCATTTCAATTAAGGTGCTTTTCTGAGCGAACTGGGGTGCTGACTTTTAATCTTAAATTCTACTTGCAGAATTACTTTTTTAAGCAGCATCCCTAGAAGCATGAAATGAGACAGTGGATTATTTTCATAGACCTGGGTACCTAATTATTTTGTTTTATAGAAAAGATTGCTTATACACGTGGACAACAAAAATCTTGCGGCTCCCAACAATACTTGGGATGCAGTTAAATGAAAGGACTGGTTCTTCACATCCTGGTTTAGGATTATTTCTTTGACTTAAGACAAGCAGTAAGGGTCATTCAGGTCAAGAAGATACAATTTGTTTGGAGTGAGCTTTGTTCCTTTCATGTTGCAGGATCTGACCTTGGATTTATAGGCATACTATTATGGGTTCGATTGCTTCATAAATTGTCTTGCTCCTTCTTAACACTTGAAAGAGGATATCAGATAGAAAAAAAAATATGGAGACTGTCTGTAAGACTTTCTATAATACTTTTCATCTTTTTAAGAAAAAATTCCATACAGCTTTATGAGTGAGCGGAAAAATAATATACAAAATGCGTAATAAGGTACTTTGTACCAGTTAGTGTCATTCAGCCTCTTGAAACAAAGCCATTCACAAAGCAAGATGCTACTTAGCACAGGAAACAGTTGTTTAACTTATGCAGATGGTTTTTTGAACTTAACAATTAGAAAATAAGCCTTAGTATTTCATATTAGAACTTTTTACTCATTTCTACAGCCACATGGCTCATTATAATCAGGTGAAAATGGCACCATACATAATTCATTCTGTCTTTTAACAGCAACTGCTATCCATCTCAAGATGGAAGAAGAAGTACTTGATAAATCGACATCTTTGTGCAATACTCCAAAGGATTCTGGAACAGCAGCTCCACAGGGGACTAGTTCAGGGAAACAGGTATGAAAACTTACTTGTTTTTCCAGTAATGTGACTCTTCACAGCAACAAAAATGCTATGACATTCAGTCACTGAAGTACTGTTCATTGGAAGACTAAAGACAGGTAGCCTATACCTATAGCTACGAGGTTGTCCAGGTAAGGAGTGTGCTTGGTATACTTTGCTCTGAATATGCAGATGTTTGCTGTGAATACAAAGTGATGGAGCAGTATACCCCAAATGCCATTCTAATAAATTTTAAAACTATTTAGGGTTTGTAGTGGTTTTTGTTGTTGGTTTGTTTTGTGGTTTTTTTTAATGTCATCTTTGGTTTTCTGAGATCTTAATTTTCTGGGTTGCTGTGTATGCAGAATGACTTTCTGTGACTTCTGCTTGCATTTGAACAGAGCACACTAGTTTCAGTTTGTGTATTCTCCATAATGCTGAGCTCTATGTTGGTGTTCATCCTGGCATGCGTTATGGTGATGCTGTCATGCTCAGCATCCAGACCTATGCTGGACAGGGCTAGTTTGCAAGTGTTCCTTAACTAAGTCCTCTCTCCCATATTTTAGTATATTTTCATAGGTAAAAATGTTAGACACAGATTATTTAAAAAAAAAAACTTCTTTTGAAGAAAAAGAATCACTTTTTAGATGCTTATCAGTGAAGGATCTCAAAGTCATGAACAAGTCAAAATTATACAGATCATTTCTAATACTCTCAAGTAGAATACAGATGTTTCATAATAGCACTAATACAGAAAGTGTATGTGTGGTGGGATGGAACAGCAAAAAAACCCCATCCTTTATCTCCATTAAACTAGAGGGGGAAATCGAACATGATGGAATAAAATCAGCCAAGTTGAAATATGCCAAATATCTTTTTCACAAGGACTAGATGAGTAGGTTAGCCTCAGTGGAATACAGGATTTGATCCTAGAAAATGCACAGGTACATCTTCCCGTGTTTTATAGCTGTGCGTCCAAACACTTGTGAAAGGAATAAGTTAACTTTGTTGTGTTTGTGAAAGCTATAGTGAGAATTAGGAAGTCTGGCTTTACAATGATCGGTATGTATATAACACATTCTGTGTAAATAATAACAAGGGTAAACAGTGCTTTGAAATTTGATTAAAATACTAGATTATGCTGATCCTTCTGGATTTTTTTTGTTGTCTCCTTTTTTGTGTGTGTTTTAGCCAATGAGTGCAGCTCTGAGGGAGCGATTAAGGAAAACAAGACGTTCATTTAATGCTAATTTTACAGTGGCAAAGCGGATCAAAATTGACTCTGAAGAAAAAGACTGTGCTAATGCTGACAAAGGGTGCCTGCCAAAGACAAGTACAGATTGTTCCAGATTACAAGATGCTTCTGAAAACCTGGAAAGAAATGGCACTGGACATACGTGTTTCAAAAGTCCCTTACAAGAAAATGATCTCTGTGGATCAGCAGAGAATTCTCCTGTGCTACAGGCTGGTCTTAGTCAGCAACAGTCCCTGGAAGAAAAAGTAAGGCTGGTGAAACAAGTGCAAGAGAAGGAAGAACTACTTCGAAGGCTCAAACTGGTTAAGAGGTACCGATCTAAGGTGAGGCAAACCTCTGAAAAAGCACTTCTGAGTCATTCTTTGAAGTGGAATTCACAGTGTAGTCCTCATTTATTGATTTAAGCAACAATACTGACTCACTTTTTGTGTGTGTTTGTGTATTGTCTTAATTTAAGTTTTTTGATACTCTGTAGATCGATTTTTATAAAAAAACCCCACATTTCAGCAAATGACAAAACTTGTTTTTTTGTCCCAATTTCAGAACAACCTGTCTGAACTGCAGGCTTTGATAGTGAAATGGAGAAGCAGTACCCAGCTGATGCTATATGAACTACAGTCAGCCTTTTCTGCAGATGGCAAGAAAGTGAGTCTCACTCAGCTGATGGATACTTTTGGATTAGAAGACCAGTTACTGCACTTCAGCAGAACAGAAGAAGATTTTGTAGATGTCTAAATCTACAGGTGCAAAGCTTTCAATTGCACACACGCAAAAGCAGGAAAGACTGAATGAATTCTGATCACATAAGCAGTGTTGATCAGACAGAAGACTTTATGCTTTGAGGTTAGGAGGTTTTCAAGAGACACTTGTAAAGCTACGTACTTAGACACAGTAGGCACTGTAAAAGGCATTACCTAACAGAAAAGATGGAACTCATGCTGTTTTGGAAAACCTGGTTTGATAACTTGATCAGTGAACAGTTATTTAATAAAAATAAAATGAAATCAAGTCATACTTTACCAGGTAGAAGGCAGTCCATTCTTTGATTAGTCTTTGTAAGGTCACTTGTCCTGAAATAATGAACTCAAATTAATTGTCGTATCTTTTGGTGTTCAGATGGGGAAGAGTTCAGTTTTTTGTTCACAGATACATCTCCATTTACAAATATCTTCCTGCTGCCAGCCAGTTAATGACAGCATTTTGTGAGTTACGTGCAGATAACTAATTTTCATGTTGTTAATATTCTGAAGCTCCAACGAGATGTTCTCAATAGCTTTAGTTATTACTGAGGGAAACGTGCCATAATGCACTCATTTTCATTTACTGGTCCAGACAGTTGTCTTCAGGGAAGCTGTCTCAAGCGTTCTGCCACAGCCTGAGATGACAGAAGGAAGGCAAGAAAATTGCAACCAACATCTGTCTATTCCACTACTTCATGTGGGAGCCAAAGTGTTTTCTCTCTTCAAATAAATAAGAAAAACAAGGCCTTGTCTAGTGGGAGTGCTTCAAATATAGCATAAAGCTGAATAAAACTGCAGCATTTCATTTATCCTCCAACAAATGTTCTCTCTTTAAAATGTCTTTTTTTTAATCTTAACTTGCTTCTTTTCTCATCATGGCCTATGCATATAGTGTGGTGACTTCTGTCTGCTTTTATTCTCCTTAAAATCATCGCTCAAGTGTAAAAACAGATACATCTTAACTACTCCAGAACTCTCCCTGCTATGACTATTGTTTTATATGCCATCTCATTCCTTATCGGTTGTACCTTAACTCTGTTGTTTACAGGTGCCATTTCCTGTTTCCTTAATAAGGGAGTAATTTCTTACGTATCTCAAGGGAAAGAAAATCAAAGATCATACAGACCCCTTTAACACTGGTAGGGCTCATTAGACTTAAATCTGTACCCACTGCTTGGTCCTAAGAATACTCGATGTTGCTGCCCATGGAGAATTAATGAAGAACAACCTTTATTGCTAATCACATTTTGAGTAGTAAGACAGTGTTTCTTCTGCCTCTTTAGATGAATAAAAAAAGATGATGGTGCCTGGTGGAGGGGGCAGTTCTCTTCTTTTCCCTGAGATCCTTGGCAAATTTGGAACTCTGTTGCGCCTAGGGTTTTTGAAATGTCTTGCAAGAAGAGTGGAGATGTAATTAGAATCCTTACAGGCCCTAGTTAGAGATGATAAAGCAAAAAGGGAGGTGGTATCCAAGATCACCACAGAAGCAGTTTACCTTAGTTCAACAAAATTCTACACTTGTAAGGAATCAAAGCTATAATGCTCTCACAAGGGAATGAGTTTAGGTTTTATGTGAACTTATGAAAGGAGGAGAAGAATCAACACATGCCATGGAAGAAGGAAATAAAAATCCATCAGAATGACTGAGCAGGTAGATCAGTCTCTAGCAGTGGTTAATTTTATCACAGGTTCTTTATCTTTCTTAGTTGTCTTGGAGAGATCTGGCAGGAGAATAGACTGCACATTGATGTGAAGGGGTGGGAGATAGCAGCAACTATTTCAGGAGGCCAGATGCTTGCAAACCTGTTTTTTCCCCACAGGGGCCCCCAGCCACAGCTACTGGTGGCTGTGGGTAATTATGCTATCATAAGCAGCAGCTTTCAGGATGGCCAAGTAGCACACAATGGTCATGCCAAAGCATACCTTCATCTTTTTGGCTACCTACACCTGTGCCATGAGAGGTGTAAATATATTTTAAAAAGCAAAATGAAGCCAAAGCCACAGAAAAGAATTTTAGCAGATGCAAATTCATGGATTTCTTGCAATATTTCACCTTCAAAATGTTCTACGATGGCATATTGCAGACTAAGGATATGCAACTGTTCTTCTATCAGTCTACAACTTCTTGCACTCTGTTTTCTGTAGTGAG